GGGTCCCCCCCAACCTCCCCACTCTTTCCGTCGCGTTGGTTTAAGTCCTCAAGGCGGAGAGAAAGGAACCAGAGTGAAGGACGGCTACCTGTGGCGCTGCCAGGTGGCCTCGGTCACATGGGTTTGTGACGTAAAAGAATCTTGAGGTCATGGGGCTTCCCCTGACCTGGATTCTATCTCTCTGTCACCGGCAGAATCGCTGATTAATGCCTACAGTTCAAAATAGTAATTTTGACTGTCCGGAGTCTATGGTGGGTATGAACTATGTGAATAGGCGGGTTCGGAGAACCCTCGCCTAATTTCATTGACATTTAGAATTGTCATCTCCTGTTAAATTATTATTATAAGCAACAATTTATAACAATCAGTGTTCCTTCTAAGCCTATTTTTTTTAAATGTTCTAAGTGAGATGTGTGTGAGTAATATTTTTTTAAATGCCATTTGTATTAAAATATACCAGATTCAAAGTGTTTTTGAGATAGTTTCATTAACATTTCTCAGTAATAAATTTGCTTACTCTGATTATTATATTCTGTAAACTACTTAATTAAGGAAGAAATTAATTTTCAAATGTAGCAGTGAACACTGGGGTGCTTTGCACCATAACTTTCCCCCCAATTAGTTTAGTATGACTGTAGCATCAACTTTTCCCCTTTTTTCCCCTTAAAAAAAAACTACTCTTTTAAATTGCTTCGATATTTAATGTGTTTTTTAGGTGACCTCCTTTTGATTTGTTCATTTTTATGTCAATATCCTCAATTCTTTACTTTTTTCTTTAAAACTACTAGGCCAATTATATTGATACTTTATATGACAGTCAGCTGGCATGTGTATTACTCTGCACTAAAGTAAGGTGGGAGTTTTGCAACAGGGTTTTCAAAAAGCAAAAACTTATGTTTTTAAGCAAAAATAACACTATTTTTGGAAGAAATTTTGGATTAAATCAGTAGAGGGCAATTACTTGATGATATTATGGGTGTCTGCTACATGTATATCTGTTCAATTCTCAACATTGTGAGCGTCTTTGTATCATTTCCTCTGCAGAATAAACCCAAAAGTATGAATTCCAGTAAGCCTGCCATTACATTAAAAGATTTACAGAATGTCAGATTAAAGCCATTGCAATCAAAGAAACATGAATTGGTAAGTTTTATCATGTATATGCATGGTCGTATTTGGTCATGTACATGAACTTCACCGAGGCATTTAAGTCCATTGCCTTGATGCCCAATGAGTTTGCCTCGGTAAACTTTGATAATCCCTATTTTCTAAGGCCTTTGTATAAATGTTGAAAACCTTGAAAATGGGTGTCCTCTCAACTTCAAGGCATTCATGGCAACTTTTATTTCAAACCCTGCATGTGTATTCTATTTTGTCCACTGTTTCTTTGAAACCATGTGCCTT